CGCGGGGTGAGCGCGGTGCAGGCACAACACCGAGGGTTGCGATCCCGTTACCGGTCAGTAAAAAAGACAAAAAAAAGGGAGCAAAAAAAAAAAAAAACAAAGTTATGATTCACTCCTTTGTGCATATAAATGTAGGGAGGGTGGAGTGTTTGTAAGATTAGTCTGTGCTCTAATGATAGATCTTATTGGTGGCAGTAGTGTTGGGGAATTCCCATTGGGTGATCTCTGGGTGAGCTCAGGTGATAACTTACCTGGCCATTTCCATAAAAGTGCCTTGAGAAGTGCAGCAAGGTTCAGAAAAGCTTCTGAATTGAGAGGTGTTTATTGATCATCTCCCTGTTTCCCCTCCCATTTCTCTGATAAATGATACTCTTTTTCTCATTTAAATTTAAGGTTCCTCAGAAAATTTTGAGTAAATGGGAAGCCAGTGTTGGTCTTGCTGAACAGTATGATGTCCCCAAAGGGTCAAAGAATCGAAAATGTGTCACCAGTTCAATGAAGTTGGATAGTGAGGAGGATATGCCATTTGAGGACTGTACAAATGATCCTGAATCAGAACATGACTTATTGCTTAATGGCTGCTTGAAATCTCTGGCTTTTGATTCTGAACATTCTGCAGATGAGAAAGAAAAGCCTTGTGCTAAGTCTCGAGCCAGAAAGAGTTCTGATAATCCAAAAAGGACTAGTGTGAAAAAGGGCCACATGCAATTTGAAGCACATAAGGAGGAACGGAGGGGAAAGATTCCAGAGAACCTTGACCTAAACTTTATCTCTGGGGATGTATCTGATAAGCAAGCCTCTAATGAACTTTCCAGGATAGCAAACAGCCTCACAGGGTCCAGCACTACCCCAGGAAGTTTCCTGTTTTCTTCTTGTGGAAACAATACTGCAAAGAAAGAATTTGACACTTCAAATTGTGACTCTTTATTGGGCTTTCCTGAGGGTGCCTTGATTTCTAAACGTTCTGGGGAGAAGAAGAAACCCCAACGAGGTCTGGTGTGCAGTTCAAAAGTGCAGCTCTGCTATATTGGAGCAGGGAAAGAGGAAAAGCGAAGTGATTCCATCAGTATCTGTACCACTTCTGATGATGGAAGCAGTGATCTGGATCCTATAGAACACAGCTCAGAGTCTGACAACAGTGTCCTTGAAATTGCAGATACTTTTGATAGAACGGAGAACATGCTTTCCATGCAGAAAAATGAAAAGATAAAGTATTCTAGGTATCCTGCCATAAACAATAGGGTAAAAGCAAAACAGAAGTCCCTTACTACTAATTCATATACAGACCACTTAATGGATTGTACTCAGACAGCAGAGCCTGAAACTGAGATGTCTCAGGTTAATTTCTCTGATCTTAAGGTGTCCACTCTTGTCCACAAACCCCACTCAGATTATAGAAATGATGGTCTCTCTCCAAAATTCAGCATACCACCAAGCATTTCCAGTGAGAACTCACTAATAAAGGGTGGGGCTACAAATCAATCCTTATTACATTCAAAAAGCAAACAGCCCAAGTTCCGAAGTATAAAGTGCAAACATAAAGAAAATCCAGTTGTGGTAGAACCCTCAGTTACAAATGAGGACTGCAGTTTGAAATGCTGTTCGTCTGATATCAAAAGCTCTCCTTTGGCCAGCATTTCTAAAAGCGGGAAAGTGGATGGGTTAAAACTACTGAACAACATGCATGAGAAAACCAGGGATTCTAGTGACATAGAAACAGCAGTGGTGAAACACGTTCTGTCAGAGTTGAAGGAACTCTCTTACAGATCCTTAAGTGAGGATGTCAGTGACTCTGGAACATCAAAGCCATCAAAACCATTACTTTTTTCTTCTGCTTCCAATCAGAATCATATACCTATAGAACCAGACTACAAATTTAGCACGTTGCTAATGATGTTGAAAGATATGCACGATAATAAGACCAAGGAACAACGGTTGATGACTGCTCAGAACCTGGTCTCTTATCGGAGTCCTGGTCGTGGGGACTGTTCTACCAGTAATCCAGTAAGGCCTTCCAAGGTTTCGGTTTCAGGAGGCTCCACCCACAATTCAGAAAAAAATGGAGATGGAACTCAGGACTCAGCCCATCCTACCCCTAGAGGAGGTGACTCTTCACTGTCTGGGGAGTTGTCTGCCTCCCTACCTGGCTTAGTGTCTGATAGAAGAGATCTCCCTGCTTCTGGCAAAAGTCAGTCAAACTGTGTTACAAGGCGGAACTGTGGGCGATCAAAGCCATCATCCAAATTGCGAGATGCATTTTCAGCCCAGATGGGAAAAAACACAGTGAACCGTAAAGGCTTGAAGACAGAGCGCAAAAGAAAACTGAACCGGCTTCCAGCTGTGACCCTTGATCCTGCACTGCAGGGAGACAGAGAGAGTGGAGGTTCAGTGAGTGGTTCATTGAGAGGGGGGGCAGAAGATCCTGGTAAAGAAGAAGCCCTTCAATTAGTGGGCCAGTTAACAAGTGAAGATGGTACCCATTTTTTTGATATTCATTTTGATAACAAGGTTAAACAGACCAACCCTGATAAAATTCCTGAAAAAGGCCTCTCTATTGAAAACAGAAAAGGTCCAGAGCTGGACTCTGCAGTAAATGGTGAGAATGAACTGAATGGTGTAAATCAAGCAGTGCCTAAAAAGCGGTGGCAGCGTTTAAACCAAAGGCGCACTAAACCTCGTAAACGCACTAACAGATTTAGAGAGAAAGAAAATTCTGAGGGTGCCTTTGGGGTCTTGCTTCCTGGTGACCCTGTAAAGAAGGGGCGGGATGAGTTCCCAGAGCATAGAACTCCACCTTCAACAAACAAACTAGAGGATGCACTGACAGATCCGAATCATGCCGGCCCTTTAGATTCAGTTGGGCCAAGGGTGAATGTTTGTGATAAATCCAGTGCCAGCATTGAGGACGTGGAAAGGGAGCCAGGAATTCCCAGTTTGACTCCCCAGGCTGAGCTCCCTGAACCAGGTAAGAAGTTCTGACAGTGATGGAAAGGGATTGGAGAAAGTGCTGATAGTGCTTCTGCAGTTGGTCTGCTTTAATGTAAAGGAGAAGTATAAACTGGGAGGGGAGGATTATCACTTGGATGAAGAAAGGGCTTTATGTAGAAGGGTCTGAATTTTGAAGATGAGATTTCCATTTATTTTTAGAAATTGTTTTACCAGAAGCTCTTTTTTCGCCCCTTCCTTTTATTGTCTTAGTAACATTTTTTGCTCCTGTTCCCCATTTCCTACCTTTTTAGATCTATAAACTTTTGGGGCTCAATCTGTTATTGTAGGTAATTGAGAGGCTCTGAGCCTAATATTTATTTATTTATAAATTTTTATTTAATCAAAATTGATTATACATATTTTGGGGGTTCCACATTGAGATATGTTAATCAAATTAATATTACTAGAATATGTATTGTAACAAATCATAATTATTCTTTATGCCCCTTGTCTAATCTCTCCCCACCCCCCCTCCTCCCTCTAATTACCCTAGATTTCTTCTCTCCTTCTGAAAGAATAACGGTTACTCTCTTGATTTGTTGCCTAGATAAAATGTCCAGTGCTGAGAGGTGTTATCAGGTCCCCCAGTATTATTGTAGAGCAGATGCTTCTTCTGTCACTCTGAAATGGGCTTTGTGGGGAGAGACATCCTCTTCTTTTTCTCTGCTGGTGGCTCTCCTTGTGTCAGTGAACTCCAGTGGCTGGCAGACCATCTGCGTGGTGGTTGTGGCATCTGGCTGCTTTTGCTGCAGCCACGGTTATTGTGGTGGCTGTGGTGGGCTATCCACATGGAGGTGATGTTTTTGGCATGCTCCTCTGTGCTGGTGGTATGGCTGGATGTGGGGAGAGTCTGGTCCCCGGCTTCAAGCCTTATGTCTCCAGGCAGACCCTGAGGTGCTGGCTTGGTGTGCCTTGTTGGGGGGTGGTTGTCTGGGCTCCTTCTCCATGCCTTGGGTCCCTGGGCGGGCCCTGAGGCACTGGCACAGTATGCCTGGTTGTGGGGGGCGGTCCGGTTCACTTCTCCATGCCTTAGGTACCCGGGCCGGCCCCAAGATGCTGGTGGTATGCCTGGATGTGGAAGTGCAGTCCAGTCCCTGTCTCCATGCCTCGGGTCCCTGGGTGAGCCCCAAGGCGCTGGCGCAGTGTGCCTGGTTGTGGGAGGGAGATCCGGTCCCCTTCTCCATGCCTTGGGTCCCTGGGCAGGCCACGAGGTGCTGGAGCGGTGTGCCTGGTTGAGGAGATGGCGGTCTGGTCCCTGGCTCCCTGCCTTGGATCCCCAGGTGGGCCCAGAGGCACAGGCGCGGTGTGCCTGGTTGTTGGGAGGAGTGGCCGTTCCCTGGGTGGGCCCCCAGGTACTGGCATGGTATACGTGGTTGTGGGAGGGGGGCATGGTCCCCTTCTCCATGCATCTGGTCCCTGGGCAAGCCCCAAGGCGCTGGCGCGGTGTGCCTGGTTGTGGGAGGGGGGCCCAGTCCCCTTCTGCGTACCTCTGGTACCCAGGCGGGCCCCAAGGCACTGGTGCGGTGTGCCTGGTTGTGGGAGGGGGTCCAGTCCACTTCTCTATGACTTGGGTGCCTTGCAGGTCCCTAGGCACTGACGTGGTATGTCTGGTTGTGGGAGGGGGGTCCGGTCCCCTTTTCCATGCCTCAGGTCCCCGGGCAGGCCCCGAGGCACTGGCGCAGTGTGCCTGGTTGTGGGAGGGGGCCCAGTCCCCTTCTGCATTTGTCCATTCCCCAGGTGGGTCCCAAGGCACTGCCTTGGTGTGCCTGGTTGAGGGAAGGAGGTCTGGTATACTTCTCCATGACCTGGGTCCTGTGCAGGCCCCAAGGCACTGGTGCAGTATGTCTGGTTGTGGGAGGGAGGTCTGGTCCCCTTTTCCATGCCTTAGGTCCCCAGGCAGGGCCCAATGCACTGACACAGTGTGCCTGGTTGTGGGTGGGGGGTCTGGTCCCCTTCTCCATGCTTCAGGTCCCTGGGTGGGCCCCATATGCTGGTGCAGAATGCTTGGTTGTGGGAGGGGGTCTGGTCCCCGACTCTGTGCCTCAGGTCACCAATCAGGCCCCTGAGATGCTGGCGCAGTATGCCTGGTTGTGGGTGGGGGGTCCAGTCCACTTCTCCATGCCTCAGGTCCCTAGGCTGGTCCCAAGGCACTGGTGGTATGCCTGGATGGGAGAGTACAGTCCAGTCCCCAGCTCCCTGGCTCCACGCCTCATGTTCTGGGCATGCCCCAAGTTGCTGGAGGTGTGAGTGGTTGTGGGCAGCGGTCCAGTCCCCGGATCCATGCCTCATGTCCCCTGGTGGGCCCCAAGGCACTGGTGGTGTGCCTGGGCCAGAACTAATTTATTGTCCTTTGCTTACTTCTAATATGGGGGAACTTCCTGTGGGAACCAGTACTGGAGCTGTGTGGTTGAGCTAAAGTGCTGCTTTGCTGCTGTTTCCCTAGGGAAGGCGTTTTGTGAAGGTCAGGGTTTAATGGTTAACCTTATATGTACTTCTGGCTCTCTAGGGACCCAGTGCACCTGGGTGGTATAGAAACTCTAATCTGGGTCTGAGTTTTTTCATCAAACTGCACCCCATGCAATTCTGCATTCCTGACCAGTCTCTTCTGAGTAGTCCTGTGCTTATTGGTGGGCAGATCGGCTGTCCTTGCTGTGTCCCAGTGTTCTCCCGGGGGGCCTGTCTCCCCCACCACCCGTGCTTCAAACACTTCCTGTGGGATGGACCATGCACCAGTCTCTTGTGATGACTCACTGGCCTCTGAATGGCTCCCCTTTTTCAGCTGTTCCGGCTCCTCGCTCCTGCGTGGGTCCATGGGAACCCTATTAGTGGTCTTGCTGTCCTGGGGGCCACCAAGGCCCTTTTCTCCCCTGCTGCCTCCAGGTAACTCTATCAGAAGGGCACAGCTGCAGTTTCTGCTGGCTCCTGCTCCATGCGCCCAGCAGCTGGAGCCTTAAAGTAGCCATGGCCTGAAATGCTCAGAGCAGTTTTTTCTTTCTCTCCTTGTGGTTTCTCCTGCCTTCATGAACTCCGTAGGTCTCTCCTCCTCTTCCCCGACCTCCAGTAGCCCCAGCTTGGCTGATGTTACATTTTTTTTTTTTTTTTTTTTTTTTTTTTTAAAAAGCTAGGAGCTCTGGATCTCAAACAATATTATGGTGAGGGGTGATGACGATTGGGGCATCTGAAATCAGGCTCCGTACACCAATTCATGGGACAAACTCCACAAGGAATTATCCTGCATCCTGCATAACATTCCATGGTCTATGTGAAAAATATATTTATTTGTTTATTTTTTGTCTTTTGTCTTTTTCAGTGTCCGGCAACGGATCGCAACCCTCAGTGTTGCCCCCGTACCGGACCGGGGACCGGCAACGGGATCACAAGCCTCGGTGTTGCTCCCGCGCCTCGCTCAGCCAGTGAGCGGGAGCCGGTCTGTACGTGGGATCCGAACCCTCGGACGGGAGCGCCGCCGCGCTTCCCAAGCGGCGCACTATCCAGTGCGCCACCGGGCCGGCCCCTGATGTTACATTTTTATAGTTGTAAATTGGTTGATTTGTGGGAGAGAGTGACAGAGGGGACTGTCTATTCCGCCATCTTGACTGGAAGTCTGAGCCTAAGATTTAAATCCAGTTGTTTACAGAAGGCAAATAGACTTTATTGGTTATTAGTGTTTCTTTGATCACAACTTAAGATAGGTTCACACAAAAGGGACATGTATTTTGAAGAAAATGTGTGTTCTATAGTACTTATTTGTAGGTCTTAGGTGCCATAATTCCCTTCTGGAATGAGGTTTGTAAATAACAATAATGCAAGTACTGGAGTAACCTTCTTTAGCAGTGGAAGGAAAACAGCAGAAAACTTTCAAGATATTAACATTACACAATGTAGTTATTGAGGATAAAACTGAGTATCCTTAACCGTAAGATTTCTCAAAGTTGTTTACCATAATAGATTTTTTTCCTAATAGGTTTATTGAAATATTCACATATCATAAAATTAATCTTTTTAAAGTTTACAACTCGGTGGTTTTTAATATATTCAGAGTTGTGCAACAATCAGTGCAATCAACTGTGGAACATTTGAATCACCCCAGAAAGAAACCCTGGACTCTTTATCAGTCTCCCTTCAATTTTCTCCAATCTATAGATTTGCCTATTTTGTACAGACCCTGGCCACTACCATTCTACGAGTACTTCCTGTTTCTATGTTACTATACTTCATATAAGTAGAATTATGTAGTATTTGTCTTTTTGTGATTGGCTTATTTCATTTAGCATAGTGTTCTCAAGGTTCATCCTTGTTGTAGGATATGACCAGATCTCCTTTCTTAAGGTTGAATAATTTCCAGTGTATATATGTACCCACTACCTTTTCTTTATCCATTCATTAGTTGATGGACATTTAGGTTGCTTCCACATCTTGACTGTTGTGAAGAATGCTACAGTGAACATGGGTGTGCAAATATCTTTTCAAGATCTGGTTTTCAATTCTTTTGGATATATACCTATTAGGATTGCTGGATCATATAGTAATTCTACTTTTGATTTTTTCTCTCTCTTTTTTTTTTTTTCCTTTCTGTCTTTTTTTACTGACCGGTAACGGGATCGCAACCCTCGGTGTCGCACCCGCACCGCGCTCAGCCAGTGAGCGGGAACTGGTCTCCACATGGGATCCGAACCCTCGGCAGGAGCGCCACCGCGCTCTCAAGTGGCGCACTTCTCCAGTGCGCCACCGGGCTGGCCCTACTTTTGATTTTTTGAGGAACCTCCTTACTGTTTTCTGTAGTCACTGCACCATTTTACAATCCTACCAACAGACGAGTTGCATAGTGGCTCTAATTTCTCCACATCCTTGCTAGCATTTATTGTTTTCTGTGTTTTTGATAGTGGCCATACTAATGGTGTGAGGTAATATCTCATTGTGGTTCTGATTTGCATTTCCCTGATGATTAGTGATGTTGAGCATCTTTTCATATGTTTA